AATCACATGCTCTCTGTAATCACGAGGTAGTATTGTGGAGTCAACTTGAAGTGGTAAGAACTACTTTCGAGAACTACTGCGCTTTCTCCCAACTGTAAAAACTTACCATCTCAACATACAGATGCATTACCTGCAGAGATTTCACATACTGCCCTTCTTCAGCATTTGTTCCACCCTGTGGCGGGCGCTATTGTGACGCCACGTCTCCCAATCAAAGGCAGTTGGCACGATGGTTTCCCACTCGGCCTAAAATGCTAGTAGGGCGCTATGTAGTGGGAAATGGCGAAAGAACGGAGTGAAACGGTCAAAATCCTGCGAAGAAAAAGCCTCCGTTCTCAGTGACTTGAAAATCGATTTCGGACGAGTTTCCCGTAGGCATCTTACCAATCACCGCTACCGAAGATACGGCTGCATATGTGTACCCATATATGCATGCAGCATCACGGCCGCTTCATACCAATCCCTTTGCTTCATAATTTGCTCAGCAAATGAATGAATACGAGCGTCAGAAACGGTCGTCCGTTTGTGGGCGGGCGGGCAAGGAAGGCGTTTGGGACGTAAAGTTGTTGCTCAATAGGGCGTTATAGAGGTACCTCCTTGGAAAAGGCTTCACGCAGCGCCTGTCCGAGGTCACGGAATTCTGTTAAGCCAGTTGTACAAATCCTACACCTGTATAGCGATTTATCGTGCCAACTGCCTTTAAGGCCTAAGAATGCGTTCATAAGGCCTAAGAATGCGTTCACACTTTGCGTCACCGTTTCCAACGTACGCCAGCGTTTCGAGCGTTTCGTGGGTAGTTGCCCAACATGGTAGCTACTAGTCTTAAATTAACACCTATTTTTCCTCGCCGCTGAGAACGCTGGCACACGCTCAAACAGCTGCCGTACGCTGGCATACGCTAGATCGATACCTATGCTTTCCTAGTCACTCAAAACGCTCAAGGCGCTGGCGCAAAGTATGCACGCACTGTCTAATGTTACGCGAAACCTTTGCTGCGAGTGGCGCTGTGTGCGCGGCATTCACACCAGGGTCTAACTGTGTCCTTGACAGCATCGGGATGGGTGAAATGGCTGTGTCAGTACAACTCGAAATGTCCTCTCATAGTTCGACCCCTCGAATCTACTACTTTGGTGCGACTCCCTTTCCCACCTACCGCTATCTTGCCTATCTCATGCTGCATGCATATATGGGTACACATATGCAGCCGTATCTTCGGTAGCGGTGATTGGTAAGATGCCTACGGGAAACTCGTCCGAAATCGATTTTCAAGTCACTGAGAACGGAGGCTTTTTCTTCGCAGGATTTTGACCGTTTCACTCCGTTCTTTCGCCATTTCCCCACTACATAGCGCCCTACTAGCATTTTAGGCCGAGTGGGAAACCATCGTGCCAACTGCCTTTAATGCAAATGCTGTTTGCAATACCGTTTTCGCCGCGACCCGCATATTTTGTCTTTCTCCTGTCTCATGCTATTCTCTAAAGAGATACCCATTGTTTTCAGACGTTCTTCGCCGATACCAACGTCTCAGCAGTACTTGGCCGCCGTCCAGCGGCAATATTCGTCCGTCCCAATGATCCTGTTGGGCGAGTACTTGACGTGCTTCTCGAAGCGCATCATATGCGCTGTATTTTTATCCTTGACGACCGTTCTAAGCCGATCGCTTGTGTCTCACAGTCAGACGTCATTTCACATCTGATCTACGACGAAGTGCCATTCCAAAAACAAAAGTCACCTACAACAAAGTCATGATATTAGTCGGTAGTTAAAGACACAGTTGTTCGCGTTGGTCCTGTGGGCGGGGCCAGGCCCACCATCGGCCTACTCAGTTGTGCGTCCCACCTTTCTAAGTCGTTCAAGACAAGGCATACGCCTGCAAGAATTTCATGGGCCTGAGCCCGCCCATGCAGCCAACGTGGACTGTGTATTTAATGTGGTGTTTACCTACGAGATGCGGCTGCTATGTTCTCTTTCGCTTTGCCGTTCATGACGTCCCCTATTTGGATATGCAGGTCTTGTTTTGTACAGTGATGATTAGGGCTTTTGTACAGAGTTTATTGTCATATGTGCACGAAAAGATTATTTATTTCACTGATGTCTTTTAAAAATGCCTTTTTTATAGAAAAAGATTAGGACGTAGTGATATGACTGACCAATGATGGTGCCCGTTGTTTGATTTGTTGATAAGGGATTTGTTGGTTATTTGTCACCTAATAAAAAATCAAAAGTATTTATAAGCAATTTCCAGCTTGTATATTGACTGGTTCCGCTAGTCTCCCATTAGTATGATGAGGAGAAGAAAAAGTCACTCGTACTTCGTCGCGTCACCGCGCGCGGCGTACCGTGCGGCATTGCGCGGCAAAGGAAATGCCCCCGTTTCGGGGGGGGGGGTACGTGACAAGAGAATCGTCATTTACCGCGCTGGTGAGCGTCGCGTGCGACGTCACTCCCGCAAATGACGATGGATACAGGCAGTAGATGGTAACAAAAGGCAATTCGGAACCGAAAATAGTCATGAATGTCCACGATCACGGGGTCTACATAAGTCCGGTGGCTCTTTTCGACAAGTTACACTAGTTTAAAAAAGGAGCCGCGCCGATGCCGCGCGCGCCGGACGGGAAACGGCAAATTACGATCCTCTTGCCCGTCTCCCGTTTCCGGGTGTGTGGCAAGAGAATGGTAATTTGCCGTGCCAGTGGGAATCGCGTGCGACGACGCGCCCGCTAACGAAGACGATATTTGGTGATATTGTTCGAGAATAGGCTATGTATGACAAAATACACATAAGTGTCCACCATGTCCTTGTCTGCATGAAATCCGATGCTCCATCGAAAGGGTAGTGCAAATCAAGAAAACGTCGCGCCCAATGCCTC